TCAACGTTTTATCATTTATCTAAGCCGAGTTATATGCAAAATAAAAAAATATTACACCAGTACGGATATGCGAAATTTGGAAAAAGAAAAAATGTCACTTTTCTTCTGATACACTTTTTATACTTTAAACTACATTTGATGGTCAATGTAAATATGCCAAAAGATGCAGCGCATTCCGGGCTTTCTTCCTATATATAGGAGGTTAATAGATAAAAAAGTATATTGACAAAAAACAAAAAATTCGAAGGGTATACTTTCAATGTGCGTGGACTGTATATATATATATTCAAGAATAAGCGTTCCATGTAATACATGAGAAATATTTAAAATATCAATTAAAACAATGTCATTTTGAAGTTATCGAGCAGTTTGTAATGTTTGTGGAGTAATTGTAGTTGTGTAATGTGGAATTCGGACTGTTTCCTTTATTTTCAACCAGATGTCGGGTGATGATCCAAGACATACGAATGGCATCCATAGAGTAGTAAAATTACTAATAAAATATATAAACAGTTCAAATTGACCAGTCGTACCATACGGTAAGCCAAATGCATAAGCGACCGCAAAAGCTTTCAGAGGAAGATTGAATAGAAGAAATAATGCTGAACATGACATCAATTGTATAATCATTCTTCGATATTTTTTCCATTGTATTTGTTGACGAAGACGTTGTTTTTGTTTAATAACACGAATAAACAATAAAATATTGAAGACACTGATTAAAAGAGACGGTAAAACACCATTGATCAATGTATCATATAGTAAGAGAATGTTGTATGCAAAAAGAAAACATGGAAAAAGACACCAACCTTGAGTGTAATCAAATATATTTTCACAAGGTAGAAAGAAAATACAAATAGTGTAGAAAATAAAAGAATATAGAACGATTGTTGTCAATGGAATATAATGAATAAAAATACGTTTCTTTTGAGTGTTTAGCCATTGATTGTGAAATACTAGAATATGTCTCTCAAATGAAGCCCAAGCCATCAACATACCAATTATATTGAAGTTAGCTGTACCTACAAACCACCAAACATAGCAATTGAGCGGTGTTTGAGGCCAAACATGGCCTAAACGAAAAAAAGTAAGAATGTTTGGAATATCAATGGTCTGAGAAAAAAGTCCAACGATGAGAAGAATGGTGAAGACATGATTATTCAAACATTGTCTTAGTGTTCGATCAAAGCAAAAATAATAGAGTAAAACAAGAGAACAGATAATAGATGGAATTTCAAAAATAAGAATAACCCAAAAACGAGCAGCTGATGATAGAGATATCTCTGACATTGCATATGATGAGGTGTGACTGTCTTCAGCACCACCAATGAAACTATCGTTCGAGAAATTGGTAGTCATAATCTATTTGTAGAATGGCGGCGTTCAAAGAATATATTGAAAAACGATCTATTATTTGTACACTAATATTTTCCCGATCTGTAGGTAATGTGTGCGTTTTAATATATTTGAAAGAGAGAAATGAAAGAAGAATATCATGCATTACGCTTGTTACCCAATAACTCACTGCGTTTCAGAGAATAATAAGTTTTGACATTCTGTTTGAAATGTAGAGTGAAATGATTTTATTCGTATTAATCCATCAAATAAAGGTTTCAATATCTCGAAAGATAAATTATATAGCTGGTCAGATAAGAATTATATGTAGTTTAGAGAAAGAAAAGTTACAATGACGTTTTCGTATAATGCAAACTAAGATACAAACGTTACACTCTTCTATTCTTCCCATAATTTCATTCTTTAAATCTTATTGAATCCAAAAAGATTCTAATATGATAATTTTTGAATTTATCATAGATATCAAAATCTAGTATGTATCAGAGACCGAAACGGGGCGGGTACCCGAGGCGGGGATCATTTTTTCTCTGTCGGGGAGGGGCCGGTAAAGATTTTGACGGGGCAGACTTGGGTAGAGCGAGGCGAGACGGGGAGATGTTACGGCGGAGACGAAGCGGAGAGGGACCCAGGTTAAATCCCCGAAATTTCCCCGTGAGAAAGCTTCACAACATAAATATTCATATATAAACCAAAGATAGAATCAATTCTTTTTGAATCTATTTGTCAATTAACTCGATAGAGTTTAAATAGATTTCCAGACATGTAAAACTAGAGAATTAAAAGAGAGAATATTTTCAAGTGTATATATATATATATCAGAAATAGATAAAACATGAAGTATGACGAACGAGTTGTAATAAAACTTCTATAGTTTTATCTATTCTTAGTGTAGCTTTAAAAATTTCTTTTCAGATTTCGTTTGATTCGGTTTCAAAGATTTCAATTTCAGTTCAAGTCAAATATTAGAAAACATGAAGGTGTGGGTGTGGGTGTGGATGGGTGTGGGTGAGGGTGTGGATGTGGGTGAGGGTGTGGGTGTGGGTGTGTGTACTGAATCTTCTATGACACACCCACACCAACCCACATCCACCCACACCCACACCAAAATCAATTGTTAAATTTCCACATTCAAACATATCATTTAATCCTTTACATTATTTATCCTTAATACATCAATGTACATTTCATATATTAACAAATTCATGTTCCGTATTATGGAATAAATCATATTTATTAAAAGATCATACAATTGAAATAATTAATAATATATTATCAATATTTTGTCATATATTACATGATGAATCCGAAATTGAGAAAAACCTTCAAGATGAACAACAACAACAGTTAAATGAAGAACTTATACAATCATCAATAACAAATATGAGTGTTTCATGTGAACATGCTATTGAAAGTTTATTAAAAACAAATCATAATCTTGAATTACTTGTTGATTATTGCTTTACTCATCCACATACTGACACAACAAAAATAACAAATAATCAAACATTAATTGATAATTTAAATCAACAAAAATCTTTAGTAATTATTAAATCATTATCAAAAGAATCTGTTGATCAGTGTACAAATAATATTATATTAAAAATTCTTGATATATTACCTAATATTGTTTATAAAATATGTGAACTTATTGTAATAACAATACATCGTAATGGTATTATATGATGTGATGATTTTCTTGAAATAATAGTAAATGATATTAAAACAAGTTATTCATATTTAATTGATTTATTAGATAAAAATCTTTTAAATCAATACAATGAACAATTAATATTAAATTTTTTAAATGATCATCAAAATTCTATTTTATTTAGTCGAACATTATTAATGTCATTATTATTTAAAGAAATACCATTTCCATGTGCACGTATAACTGAAAAATTTTCATTAATTCATTATTTTTCTATATTAATACATCGCGTACAACGAATTATTTAATTAAATTTAATGAAAAAAAAATACCAACATGGTTAACATCAGCATTTATATTTATTCATCTATATGAAAAAATATCAGTAGCATCAAAATGTTATTCAATTATAAACCAATATTATCGTGATTATAAACGTATATGGCAATGATTTGATGAACGTACTCTACAATGGTATAATTATTCTGAAGTACATAATAAATAAATTGAGCATGCATATACGAATGGTGAACCATCATGTATAGTTATTACAGAAAGGCAAAATTATATTATACAATTTAATACTATATTAAGTTACAAATAAATGAAGATACACATAATAAACAACCAATTATGTTTACATTTGATAAACCGATAATAAACAAAAATACAGATAAATTAACATTAATACTACCAACATTATCAAATACAAATGATAATCATCATCAACAATATGAACATGGAATATTATTGATTGAATCTTTATCTGATGAAAATGCATTAATATTAATAAGTGATTGTGTTAATTTAATACGTATGCCAGTTGATCCTGATACTATACATGCATTATTACGTTTTATCTTACGTTTAACACGTCATTAAGTTTAACACAAGCATCAGTATTTCAAGGTTGTACATCATTAATAACATTAATATTTCGTCATATTGTAGAAGATGATAGAAATTTACGTTTATCTATGAAAAAAACTATACGTCAAGTGTTAACTAATAATCATAGTAGATCAATTGGTGTTCAATCTGATTGTTCTAGTTTACATGAATTTAATATTATTTTACATAAACTTGGCCCAGCTGTGGCACGTACACCAGATGCTGGTTCAACAAATTATTTTGTAAATCCATTTATAATTGATCAATCATCTATTACTAATCATGATCACACTGGAGATTTAGTTGAATGTTTATTAGTTGATTTACTTGATTTTCTTTTAATAAATAATGATAATAAGCCAAAGCGTTTATTATCAAAATCAAATATCTTATATATATTAATTGAATTCATACATTCATATGAAAATATTGATAAATTTATATTAAAAAAAATATTTTTATTACAAGATGATACAACATGTGCAATATGATCCTATATACTTGATTATTTATTACCAGATATAATTAAATAATCAATTTATTCAATATGATAAAGATATATTAAAATTATCTCATTTATTTCTTATTACAATAGCTACATCTAATCATTGTTTTGAATCTCAAATTGATTTAATTAATGAAATTAATATATATCATTAAATAGAATAATTATTTTACCTGAATCTGATGAAAAATATGTTAGATTAAGAACGTTAGCTAATACTATAAATATAATAATTAAATCATGTTTAATATCAATACAAGAACAACATAAAATACCACGATTAATTATTAATAATACAATTAAAATAATATGTAAACATCATTTAATAAATGATTTAACTAAAATAATTCATAATATTCAATTATCAAATCCAAAATTAATTGATACAATCAATGTTATACTTAAGCCAATAGAAACATTATCATATGTTATTTGTTATGTAGCATCATCAAATAAATCAGGTCGTTCTCAATTAAATACAAACCAAATAAAGATTTCAAATCAACAATAATTGATTCAACTAATCAAAATTTATTAAATGTTACTCCTATCGAACCAATTTGTAATTTACTTGAACAAAATATTTATGAAACGGCTCGATTGTCTACTAATGATGATGAATTTGTTAGAAGAATTAATGTAAAATTTAATCTTGAACATACTCTTAATGATATATATTATGATGATGATGTTCTTTTAACAGGTATGTGAACAATTATATAAACAGGGTAGATATGTGCAACATGATACCGAGACCAGAACAAGGAGGGTGTGGGTGTGGGTGTGGGTGTGGGG